TGTCTCTGCCATTTACTGGTCTTTTCAAAATTATGACTCTAAAATATCTTGTAGGCAAAATTATGAGGCTTGCAGAGTTAGCTTTGAGATTTCTCAATTCCTCACCCACTCCTTCCCCTCCTTCCCACAAGCTCCATTTCTGTCCCATGCCCCCAGATTGTCTTCTCCAGGTGACTTGAACCCACCTTCTTGGTTGCAGTATCAGTACATTGTACCCTTGTCTGCACTGAAATTAACCATGCAGTCGAAACTAGTACCTTCTTGAGTTGATGGGTGTGTGTGTGGTGGGGTGGGGTGGGGAGGGGGTATAATTACTTAATTGAATCTGTGTTAATAACATGTTAACTATTAATGCAAACCCACAGTCCCTCTCTACCTCCCCCTCAGGAAGTCCCTAATGGTGTTTGGTCATTGTTTCAGTCACTTGTCACATATTGTGTTTTCTTGGCCCATATCTCTAACCACATCCTTATCAAAATATTTTGATGCACGCATTTGAAAAGTAGAAACACAACATACTTAAGATAGTTGGAGGGCTTGGCTCCTATTTGCATCACAATGATTCTGCCTATGAAGATTTTCCCTAACAGTCAACTAGGATTATATACAACCTGTGGTTTCAAAAAATCATCTCATCTTATTAAATTTTCTCATTTTAAAATACCTGTGACTCTTCTGAATAATGAAAAAATGACATGAATGAAGAATATGTATATAAACTGTCTCTAAAGTTATTAGGAAAATATTTTTATTTAACTGTGCCTAATGTTTGGGGGTATTACAGTGAACTCTACTTTTAAAGATGAGTAGTTATATATTAATATATTGGCCCTGAAATTTTTGAGTTTTCACCCTATAGTCCAGAAAAAGCCTTTATTTTTAATAGTTGCCCTAAAATTTTAACACAAAAGTTTTACTTAGCTAAATCTAAATTTAATCAGTAGCTTTACCCCACTTCCAAACAATATAAAGACTTTAAAATGCCTTCATTCTGATTTCCTTTCCTTGCTTGCTATTATTTTCCAGGATTTTAACTCTGTTTGCTTGGTTTTATTTGTTTGTTTGTTTTACGACAGAGTCTCACTTTGTCATCCAGGCTGGAGTGTAGTGGTGTGATCATAGTTCACTAGAGCCTTGAACTCCTGGGCTCAAGGGATCCTCTCGCCTAGCCTCCTGAGTTGCTGGGACTACAGGCATGCACCACCATGCTCAAATTATTATTATTAGTAGTAGTGGTAGTACAGACCGGGTCTCAGTATGTTGCCCAAGCTTGTCTCAAACTCCTGGCTGGCCTCAAGGGATCCTCCCATCTCAGCCTCCCAAAGTGCTGGGATTATAGGCATGAGCCATTGTACCCGGCTTACTTGCTTGGTTTTAAGTCCACAAATTAGACATCACCATCATTCTATTTAGATTTTCTCATATTTACCGTTTTCTTTACATATCATTGCTACTTCATTCAGAGCTTCTGGGATCAAACCCTAGTTCCTGGCATTTTGGACTGGTTGATAGTCTCCAGGATATTCAGGCAGTGAAGTGCCTCCAAAAGAAAATGAGAAAAGAAAGGTCCTGGGAAATATGCCTCACTCCTACCCCCGCAGTGCTGCCGCTGCTGTCCCAGGACCGTGGGCACCCCTGAGTATCTCCCTTCCACTCTCTCTGATCACTGTGTTTTATGGAGTAGAGGGGGACAATGACATCTTATAGAATACTAAAGTTAAATATGTTCAGTTTAAGGAGCTGTCATTTAGTCTGAGATCGTGTCTTTCCTACCTCTTTTGCTGTTAACTTTATTTTATAACATAATGGTGATGGTAGTTGAAGTTTGTTATTTTGTTTTGTTTTAAATTAATTAATTAAGATTTGTTTTTATATTTCCTTACTTGGCAAATACAAAGTTGTGAATCACAACCCAGATTTTTTGAAATTGTATTGGGTATTGAAATCCCAAACCACTGCTATAAACAGCTAGCTGTGAGTTTGGGGTGTGGACATCGGGACACCTGAAACCATGTCTTGGTTACGTCAAGAGCCTTATTGATTATTTAGATTATGTATGAATCCTGTGGTGTTTACAGTACTTTGCAACCTTTAGTACTTAGCTGAACTGTATTGGATCGGGAGTCCTCAATACGCCCTCAATGATTTACATTGTTTTTAGCTACTTCCGTAAGGCTGAGTCTATACTAGCAAAATGACCTGGGTGCTTAATGTGCTCCCTACATACATCTGGTGATGTTTGTGCTCTCAGTTTTTTAAGAACACTGCTTTGAGAGTCACACCACCCAATATTCTACCAATAACTTACTATGTACCTTCATCATTTGTAAGAAGAGGGGGTTGAACTAAGCGATCTCCAAGTCACTTTTCTGCACAAATGTAGGTGGTGATTGTATTTGTGTGTACACATTTTTTTAAAGCCTTAAAGAGATCTAGGTATTTCTCATGTGTTTATATTAAATCTAAGATCCATGTTGCAAATTTGGACGTGGAGGACATTAATTTTTCTGATGTAGGTTACTCTTTAAGAGGCGTGTTGCATCTGTAATATTGGTGCCACCACTTTGGCAGATGCAGTTTCTTCATTTACTTGTAAGTGTTCAGTCTGAAGTCTACATAAGGTAACTTGAGTTCTCATTTCTCTGGTATTAAAAAATGGTCATGTTTAAATAAGGCCACAATGTTTATTTCAAAGGGTCCCAGAATCATTTTTTTAAAATATCATCATATGCTTGACACATAGACAAATGATGACTACTTGAAGATGCACCAGCCATGATTGTGGAGACCTCCAAATTCATGACAGAGTTGTTAACTGGCAGGTTTGTTATTTCCTATAAGTACAAGGAAGGGAAGTGTTAAAATAACTCGTGCCCATTAGAGAGAGGAAATTAACATTCCCTTAAAAATTGTTTTCCAGTGAAGGAAGCCCATCCCCCAGAATGGAGCTGCTGCATAATATCGACCCGAACTTCGTGGACTCTTCGCCGTGTGAGTACCAGTGCATTGCTACTAGGTTAAATCTCATTGGCCCACCAAGGTGGTTTGATTACCTAGTGTGTCTCTAGCCTAGCTTTCTCTTTTTTCCTGAGTTGCTAGAAAGCTAAACAGTTCTTCAGGACACACCTTCCACTCATCTCAGAGGGCAGTGTGCTGTGAAAGGAACGCCAGTTTATGAAACAAGAAAGGTGAATTCTATTCTTGCTCTGCCACTTACTAGCCTTTAAGCCATTGAACTCTTCCTGCCCCAGCCTTCCCCATTTACAAAAGAACTCATGGCATCTCTGAGGCTCCTTCTCACTGTAGATGTCACGTTGCTGCCCTGTTCTTACCTGAGAGCTCCAGAGCCGCCTGCCAGAAAACTCACAGTCCAATAAACCACAGCTGGGTTCCAGCGTAGTGTGAGCAACCACATTATCTGATTGGGATGGTCAGGTACTGCCCAACACCTGCTGGGTGTCACAGGTGTGACTTTCCTCGCAGTCCTGGAAGTGATTCCGCTTGATCCTGCCTCCTGCCTAAATTAACCTGTAAAGAGTCCTACCATTTCCTTCAGGGCAGGCAGGCATGCATGTAGTGCTTCCGGATCACAATGGGCTGTAATAGGCCTGTATAAATACCATGCTAGTGGCCCTAATGCCCTCAGCATAGTGAGTTTGGGCATAGAAAGCCTTAGCAATTAGACCCTTTGCCCAGCTTTCATCATAATGCTCATCTTGCAAACAGTGCCCTTCTATTCCCTTATTCATATGGGGGGGCTCCCATCCACTCCTTTCTGGACATACTGCTGACCCCTTAGTTCAGGCTCTCCTTACTTCTTTGTTTTTTCCAAACTGTATTATAGCTCGCCACAAAATATTCTTGCTCAGAGATTCCTGCTCAAGAGAATTACCCCACAGTCGTTCTAAATGTGTCATCGGGCACTCAGGTCCCACTTGCCCGGCCAGCCTCACTCCAGGCACTCCTTGTCATGTTCTCATCTCCTGGACACTTGCCATCTCCAGGCATGCAGGTCATCATACTGTCATGAATATGCTTTTCCCTGTGCCTGAACCACGTTTTCCCTACCTCTCTACAGTCTCTCTCATCCCTTAAAAACCCGGCCCCATGCCCCCTCTGTGAATGCTTTCCAGAGCCCCAGAAGAAGCAGTCACTCCTTCCTGTGTGCGTGCGTCCCCATATACCATCCCTCACGTGTTCGTGTTTGTGCCTGCATTTCCAAGCTGAGAGCTCCTGGAAGTCAGCGTCTCTTGTATTTTTTTATCCTCATCAGTTAACACAAATACTGGGCGCTTGCTAGGCACTCAGTAATGATTGCTTGATGACTCAGTAGACAATTGGAGAGTTGAGATGCAATAAAGACCAAGCGGACACATTAAGACCTGGACAGGAAAGGGCCCTGAGACAGGCGAGAATGGCTACGTCATGGAGAAATTTCTATTTCTTTTGGAGTAAATCCATGTCATTGAGAGAGGCAAGGGGAAGCTTTGAGCCCTAAGGACTGTAAGAACAGTCTAGATTTATGCTGTCCAGTATGGTAGCCACAGGCCACATGTGGCTGTTGGGTACTTAAAATGTGGCTAACTGTGGATTGAGATGTGCTGTGAGTAGAATATGCACATCAGATTTTGAAGACTTAGTACACCTATGTATTATATGCATACAATATTATAGATTTATTATTTGGTGAAAGGATAATACTTTGGATATATTGAATTAAATATATTGTTAATGTTTTACTTATCTCCTCTTCCTTTCTTAATGTGGCTAATAGAAAATTTAATTTTAATTAACTTACATATGTGACTTGCATTATATTTCTATTGGCCTAAAAACCTCTTCTAGAAGGTGCTAGAAAGTAAGTTGATCAGCTGAGCTGATCACAAAGCTGTGACTAGTTACTGTGAGGCTACATCAATGACTCCTAAACTTTTCTCTACCCCAGTACGCCTAAGAGATACGTTTCAGTCATATCAAAATCTCTAAGGGTGGCTGGAAGAGAATACTAGGGAGGCAGGAATGGCTTTAAAACTTTCTGAGTAATTTAATGCACTGCAAAGCCCAGTATAACCTAGGTCTAGGGGATATGTGGAATATGCCACCCACATTATAATGGTTGTAAGTGTCTTCACCTGTTAAATTCCACCTACAAATGAAAAACCTTAAGACCCCTCACTCACTAAGCTGTATTGTCGTTTGGCATTTGAAGTAGGAGCTTGGGAACTATACTCCTATGTGATATGGTTGGGATTTGTGTCCCACCCAAATCTCATTTCGAATTGTATCCCCAATGCTGGAGGAGGGGCCCAGCGGGAGGTGACTGGATCATGGGTGTGGATTTCCCCCTTGCTGTTCTGGTGATATTGAGTGAGTTCTCATGAGATCTGGTTGTTTGAAAGTGTATAGCACTTCCCGCTTCACACTCTTCCTCCTGCTCCAGACATGTAGGACGTGCCTGCCTCCCCTTCTCCTTCTGCCATGATTATAAGTTCCTGAGGCCTCCCCAGCCATGATTCCTGTAGAGTCTATGGAACCCTGAACCAATTAAACCTCTTTTCTTTATACCCAGTCTCAGGCAGTTCTTCATAACAATGCAAGGACAGACGAATACACTATCACCACAGCACTGCGTGCTCCACGGTTCTTGGTGCAACTTGCTGTGCTTTCTCCTGTCTTACCTAAAGGGCCCTAGCAAAATAACAGCACAGGCAAAAGGTTTCTCCAGCGTAAAAGTTGGTAAGAGTGTGGAAATTAGAATAGAAAATTTTCTTAATCTTGCCACCCATAGACTGTAAGGACATTTACTTCTCTTGGACTCAGTTTCCTACATATTATGTGGAGGACTTATAAGACCCAGTACTGTGGCCCCAAATTTAGGGATCCTCTTTGGCCTTCTGCTGCTCTTTCTCCCCTCTCTGGAGCCCACCCAGGTCTTCATGTTGGCTTCCTCGCCAGCTTGGGACTCCTGCTCTGACTCCTGCAGATAATGAGGGACCTTGTCGGCTCCTGCAAGGACGTGGAACCACTTCACTGTTGCTTCATACACACAGGGCGTTCTCTGCTATCTGCGCCTGCAGGTAGCAAGGTGCCACCCACCTCCTCACACATGGCAATCCCATGGGCCTTTTCTGCCCAGTTTTTATATTCACTTCACTCTACTGAGAGGCAGAAGCAGAAAAAAGAAGAGCTATCTTTGGGTGCCTGGTCCTTTTTAGGATGATGATACAAGCCCATTTCCTTTTCTATGCAATTTATTTATGAGGAAAAATTAAATCCAGCTATTAAAAAAACATGTACTTAGAGGACAGCTAAGTCTGGATATCATATTCATAGAGCACAGAGGCTTTTGTGGAGTAAAATCAGAAAGCAGCCAATCTCAGGTGTAAACTAAGGATTAAGAATGGAGTCAGTGTTATCACAGAAGCATTTCTGTGGTTTCTCACTCCAGCTCTTCTCAGATCATTGGTGCTTACTGCGGGAGAAGAAGGTAGTGTTCCACCTCCACCTTCCCTAAAGCCACTTCGTCAGTTTCCTCACCTGTGGAGTAAGAAGGAATTAAATGATCTGCAAGGTCCCTCTGGCTTCAGTGTGCTGTGGGTCTCTACATGAATGGGACCTCAGAGGAGCAAATCTGCTTACTCTGCTTCTCTCCTTTTTCTGCCTGCCAGAAGTAGTGTGTCCATTGATAAGCAGTGATGTTGCCAAAGGCATGGTCATAAATAGATGAACACAAGTGAAAATGCTAGACACATTATATGCACTAGAGGAATTTGAATTATTTTATGAGTTTCTTATTACTACATCCTGGCCACCTTTCTGATCTTTGTTCTAAAACATCACTGTATCAATCTGCTTTTCCATCTCCTCTTTCCCTTAGTGGGTCATCCTGGGGTTTGTTGACCAATGTCTCCTCTGATTCTGAATCATACGAATAGGCATTAGGTACTTGCCAGGAGATTTCTGCCTTCTGCTTAGCACCACATGCCCCCAGAAGCTGGCTTCTTGGATTTCAGCAGCTACACCTCCCCTGTCCCCTGCCAACACACATCCCATTCCCCTAGTCAAATTATGGGGTGCCCAGAGGCCCATCCTGCTGATGGAGTCAGAACTTTTTTCACGGTCACATACCCATGGTAGGTTGTGGCTCGGATACTAACAGTAAAAATACTTAAAGATTGGCACAAAATATTGATACACGTACACATTCACAGAGAAACATGCACACACACCAGGGGTCACCAAATCTCTCCCAGAGCAGGAGATTCACCATTCTGCAGTAAAGCATAAAGTCTCAAGGATGCATACATAAATTACACCATTAGGATGAGGATGACTACAGTTTAAAACATAA